CAGTAGCCTTCAGGAGCACAAAGTAAGCATCGTTAAAAGCTGAGGGCAAAGACTGACCCCTGATGTTAGCAGGGCTGATCGTGAGGGCCCTGACAGCAGCGAGGTTCCTGGGGTCGTGGGGCTGGAAGCCTCAACAGAGAGGATTACAGAGATACAGCGTGACACAATAGAGAGCAAGTATAATAGTTACTTCAAGGAATTTTAATAAAAAGGGAACCTAGAAATGAAGTGATAGCCGGAGAGGGATTCGAGGTCAAGAGAAGGTTTTCAAAAGCTGGGAGAAATGATAGCATGATTCTCTGCTATTCAAGAGAGGGAAAACTGGTCGTTGCAAGAAAGAGAGGACACTTTATACAGCAATGTCCTTGAGTAGACAAAGGGGATGAGATCTAATGCAAAAGATGGGGGCTAGCCACTTTTAATATGTGGCCAAGTATATGGGCCCAGACACCAGGAGATGGGAGGATTTTTGAACAAGAAAATAAGGTCACTGGTTCCCATGGCCCTTTACTCTGCATTTTTATTAGGAAATGTGTCTCATAGGAACCGTTTATAAAGCTCTATCTACTCCCATACTATAGCTAACTAATTCAGTTTACACAGCAGCCTGATTATTCGACTCTCCATTGTTCAGAGTGGTACATTCCACAGCTGCCTGGGCTTTGGTGTCACAAGGGAGGAGTGCCAATGGGTTGATGAAGCCTGCTTCAGAAGGGACTGCTCTCATCCAGAAAAAAACCTCCCCACAAGAACAGTGGGATCTCTGGGGCGCCTTGGTGGCTCAGTCATTAAGCGTCTGCCTCCGGCTCAGGTCATGGTCCCAGCGTCCTGGGATCCAGCCCCACATCTGGCTCCCTGCTGGGTGGGGAGCCTGCTTCTCCCTCTCCCTCTCCCCCTGCTTGTGTCCTCTGTCAAATAAATTAAATCTTAAAAAAAAAGAAGAAGAAGAACAGGGGGACTCACCCAGTTATGATACATCCAACGTAGGTGCTTAATCAGTGTAATCAGGGGGTGGCATGAAATGGTAGGAAGGAGTTATGGTGAAATTAGGGTCAGGTAGGTAGCCCTGAAATCATGATGCTGCTAAATGCCGGTTTTAGAAAACTTACTTTCTTGCTAGAAAGAAATCTGATTGAATTATTTGCTCAATATATACTACATGCCAAGCACTGGACAAGCACTTAAAAGTCATTCCATGATGAGACAAATTTTCCTACATCTCACTTGGTCCTTTTACTTTATTGACAACATCTGGCAAAGTAATCACTTTCTCAAAAATTCTATCCCCTCATTTTTGCCCAGAACCATGAAAGAAGTCAGTTCTTGCTTTTTTTGTGGAAGGATACATGATTCTATGGACAGGATTTACTTACCCACAAAATGAGTCTTTTTTTTTTTAATTAACATATAATGTATTATTTGTTTCAGAGGTACAGGTCTGTGATTCCTCAGTCTTACACAATTCACAGCGCTCACCATAGCACATACCCTCCACCCAGCCACCCCATCCCTCCCACCCCCCCTCCACTCCAGCAACCCTCAGTTTGTTTCCTGAGATTAAGAGTCTCTTATGGTTTGTCTCCCTCTCTGGTTTCATCTTGTTTAAACTGAGTCTTTCAGGGGCCCCTGGGTGGCTCAGTCATTAAGCATCTGCCTTTGGCTCAGGTCATGATCCCAGAGTCCTGGGATCGAGCCCCGCATCAGGCTCCCTGCTCAGCGGGAAGCCTGCTTCTCCCTCTCCCACTCCCCCTGCTTGTGTTCCCTCTCTCGCTGTGTCTCTCTGTCAAAAAATAAATTAAAATCTTTATATAAATTAAATAAATAAATAAATAAAATGAGTCAGTCCAGCTGTACCTGAAGGATTTTTCTCCATCATTTTCATAACCGCCTCACCCTAATTTAAGATCACAAGTTCATGAACTTGTAGTATTTACTATATATTCTATTGTCTTCCTCAGCAACATATTTTGTTATTCAAAATATATATATTCCCACTACCATCAGTTCCCTTGGCAAATATTAGTGATTCTTTCCTCCTTGAGTTTTCAAAAGGGCATTTTTCAACAAGGAGCTGGGTCTTTGTTATCTGTTCAAGTAGCAACATTTAGTTAACGTTGGATTACTTCAGGCCGTACCAAACCGCCAACTCCAGGCCTGGTGTCTTTCAGGGGGAAATAAGAGGGTGTGATGTTTGAGTAGCATAAATTCATTAGTGATCTCCCACGAGATTAATCTAGTCTGAAATCTGTCAGTGAAGGACTGTACTTTTGGTTTCAGACTTGACAGTGAAGATGATAAGATTCATTTAAAAAAATCACTTAAAAAAACTGAGGAGAAATGATAGTTTCGTAAAACAACAACAAAGTAGGAATGTTGCTCTCTGTGCAGCATTGAAGAACAAATTGAAATGAACAAACCAAAACTGCTTGGTCAGATTTTGACTGTCCTGTTGTTTTGACTATTGGGGCAGGTATTATAAAAGGGATGTTCCTCTCTTCACAGGAAACAGCTTCGTGCGCTCTGAGTGGTAGCTGCGGTGATCTGGGCGTTGGAAGTTTCATCTGAGAGGTCCTTGTTCTGGGGTCACTGGGCCCAACCTGCCTGTCAGTTTATGAATCACATTCATAGGCCCCAAGGTGTGTGGGACAGACTATACAGCAGCCTTGCAAATTGTATCATTCTGCATACATTTGTACACAGAAATCCCTCTGCTTATTTACTTCCTGTAATTCTTGATATTCCTTGTGGGCTCCTACCCAACTAAGAGAGAAAATGCAAACACAATTTGATAAGGGAAATCTGTGTCCTAAGATGGCCGACCAAGCCAGCAAGGGAGTCCCAGCCCCTACCCCGGGGCTCTTCTGGGTCCTTCTCCCTGCCCCGCTTCATGCACGTGCCAAGATTGCCCAGTATGCAGAAGTACAAGTGTATAAGTTACCCCCTCTGTTTGGGCTCAGGGCTCAGACCTTTGGAGATCACTCTCCTATGAGCCCACCGGCATTAAATAAACCTCCTATCCTCCAAGATCTCCGAGTGCTACCTGGTTCTTCTGTCGGCGATCCAGTCAAGGTTCTATAACATTTGGTCCCCTGACCTGGAAACCCAACCGCACTGGCCCATTGTTGCCACCGGTTTGGGAGCAACAGCAGGGCGGTGACTGAACAAGAGATCATAATGGAGAAGGCGTGCCCTAATTTTCGGCAGTCTCCCACCCTGGTCACCTTGGGCCGGCCCCGCTCCACTGTTCCCACTGGACTCGAGGAGACTTGGCAGGTGAGGACCTGGTCCCGATGTCAGATTACGGTAAGGCCTGGGGCCCCAGGACCCAGACAGGCCCACCCATCGCGGTGGAAGGGGAGCCTGATCACCGACCAGAGACCTCGTAGAGGTCTCATAGGTAGGGATTCCCAGGGAGGGAATGTAATAACTTCTGGAGTGAATGCATGAGTGAATGTGCAATCCAACCCGGCTTGCTCAAACGGACTGATTCTGTGCCTCCACGGGCAGGCACCCGTAAGGTCCCCAGAAGCCTACGGAGTCTGAGAGGGCCTATCTGCGATTCTGTGGTGAATGGCATACGGTCTATGGCAGCATCAGAATAGTTTCTGATCATAAGTCACAATGCTGAGACCGCTACGGATAAGCCTCATCTAAGCTCCTTCGGGACATGGCCAGATGGGCATCTGATTGGTCTCCTCACCTCAGGAGGCAACCCCCCTTTTGTCTGTCTCTGTGCCACTGCACACGGGAACATCACCATGGCATCAGGGCAGAGTAAACCTACGGTTCTAGAGACCATGATCAAAAAATCAAGAAGGGGTTTTCGGGAGACTATGGAGTCAGGATGAAACCCGGCAAGTTCAGAACCCTATGTGAATTGAAATAGCTCACCTTTCATGTCAGGTGGCCTTCAGAAGGAACATTGGATGTCCCAACAATTTGTTGAGTATGGTGAGTCATAACAGGAGAACCAGGACACCCTGACCAGTTTCCGTACATTGACTCCTGGCTAGGAATTGGTCAGACCCTTCCCCCCTGGGTGCGTTTAGCTTGCAATAGGCAGGGACAGGCCAGGGTCTTAATCGCCTCATCCAACCAACCTAAAGAAAATCAGCAAAAGCCCCAGTCTCCACAAATCCTAGCCGGAGATACCAAGGACGAACTGACCCTGACCCCACCGTATGTACCCCCAAGACCGTCTACACCTGGCCCTTCAGCTCCAGATACTCTGCCGCCATTGGTTTCACCAGAACCCCCAGGGCCAGAAGGTCCACTGGCGCCCCCAGGCCCAAAAGATCCACTTTCTCCAGGACCAGTAGCCAGGTTGCACCCCAGGCTGGGCACAAGCACCCTCCAAATGCCAGTAGGAAAGACACGGGAATCCGAGAGGCACGATGAAGACGAGACGGTCCAACCCGGCCATTCCATGATGTATTATCCCCACCAACCTCCTTAACTGGAAATATAACACCCCATCCTACTCTGAGAAACCACAGGCTATGGTAGATCTCATGAAATCCTTCTTCCAGACTCATCGGCCAACATGGGAAGACTGCCAACAGTTACTCCACACCCTGTTTAACACAGAGGAAAGGAGGAGAATAATGAAGGGTGCACAGCAGTACCTGGAAGAGCACGCACCAGAGGGAGTCATCGACCCTGCTGCCTGGGCTAATATGGCCGCACCTGAAGAGCGCCCAACATGGGACTTCACCACAACTGAGGGACAGGCCCACATCTGCTGGTACCAGGAGGCCCTCCTCCGGGGAATCTGGACAGGAATTAAGAAACCCATGAACATGACTAAGGTATCCTTGGTCACTCAACAACCAGGGGAGTCCCCCGGGGACTACTACGAAAGACTATGTGAAGCCTACAGGATATACACTCCATTTGACCCCAAAGAACAGGAAAACCAACAGATGGTAAACACCTCCTTTGTGGCTCAGGATGCCCCAGACATCAGGAAAAAACTTCAGAAACTAGAGGGTTTTGCCAGGATGAACATCACCCAGCTGATAGAAATTGCCAATAAGGTCTACATGAACAGGGAGGTCACAGCCAAATGGGAAGCCGACAAAAAGATGAAAAAGAAAGTCAGCCTCCTTGCCGCCTCCCTGAAAGAAAAGGACAACACAAAGTCAGGGAGACCCCAACCACCAAAAAGGGGGAGACCCAGAACCCCCTTGGCGAGGGATCAATGTGCCTACTGTAAGGAGAAAGGGCATTGGAAAAACGAATGTCCCAACCGGGGAAAGACTCAGAAGCCCAGCCCCTACAAGGAAGAACCCCGAGAGGAGGACCTCATAGGCCTTGTGAGAATGGACTCAGACTGAGGGGGGACCGGGCTCTTTCCTCCTCAGCCCCCATGAGCCCATGGTCAGAATGAAGGTGGGGGGCCAACCAGTGACTTTTATGGTTGATACTAGGGCCGAGCACTCTGTTGTCACCTCCCCAGTGGCCCCTTTGAGCAAAAGGACTGCAACCATCCTTGGGGCCACTGGGATGCGGGCGATATAACAGCCCTTTTGCCAGGCTCGCCAGTGAGAACTCGGGGGCCACAAGGTCCGACATGAATTCCTTTATCTGCCTGATTGACCCATCCCTCTCCTGGGCCAAGACATACTCTCCAAGCTTAGGGCTCAGATAACCTTTGAGCCCACCAGACACACTAGCCTCTGACTGAACCCAAGGCAAGAGGAGATGCGGTCTCTGTTACTAGAAATTACCATGCCATGGGAAGAAGAAAGGAGGCTATTCTGTGCCCAGGCCCAACTGAGCAGCCCGCCAGAGTTTAGACTCATCTTCCCTTCAGTATGGGCTGAAAACAACCCACCTGGACTAGCCCAGAATCGGGCCCCTATCATTGTTGAACTGATCCCAGGAGCCCAACTTCAGAGACAAAGGCAATACCCCCTTCCACAAGAAGCTAAGATCAGCATCCAAGAACATCTGGCCAAGCTCAAAGAAGCAGGTATTCTAGTCAAGTGCCAGTCGACCTGGAATACCCCACTCCTGCCAGTCAAGAAGGCAGGAGGGGGATAGCAACCAGTTCAGGACTTGTGGGCCATCAACAAGGTGACCATCTCTCTGCACCCAGTGGTCCCAAATCCATACACCCTCCTTGACCAAATCCCAGGATCGGTTCACTTGCCTAGATTTGAAGGATGCCTTCTTCTACCTCCGCATAGCTCCTCAGAGCCAGCCACTGTTTGCCTTTGAGTGGTCTGAACCTGATACAGGGTGCCAGATGCAACCATTGAGAGGGGCCCAATCTCCTTAGGGTCTCAGGTACACTCTTTCCAGACAGGGGACTCAGTTTGGGTCAAAGATTGGAAGAAAGACCCCCCTCAAACGGCAGTGGACAGGGTTTGTTAGGTATTGGACTGTTCTAACCACCCCCACTGCCCTCAACATCTCAGGTGTCACCCTGTGGGTCCACCACTCAAAAGTGAAGAAAGCTCAACATTTGGATGAGGAGCTGCGCCAGTGGAGACTCCAGCCAGACTTCACGGAGTGGGCTTCACCTTCAATGAGACCCCACCAACTGATGGACACCTGCTCACTGTGGTCCCTGACCGTCATCAGCATGATTTTCCTCATCTTGGGAGTTGGACTCTACACTGTTGCCCCTCCTGACTGGACTTTCCCCCAGAGGCTTATTATTGTCATTGCTTATTGGGTGAACCTAGGGTGTATTACTGCACTTACTTCCCCACAGGTTTCATCTGCTGTCGGGTTAGTCACAATAGCTCCCTCGGGGCGCCTGGGTGGCTCAGTCGTTAAGCGTCTGCCTTCGGCTCAGGTCACGATCCCAGGGTCCTGGGATCGAGCCCCACATCGGGCTCCCTGCTGTGCGGGGCATCTGCTTCTCCCTCTCCCTCTCGCCCTCTGCTTGTGCGCTCTCTCTCTCTCTCTCAAATAAATAAAATCTTTAAAAAGTAAATAAATAAAATAAAATTCCTGACTGATCTGTTAAAACTTCAT